TGCCTGCTACTTTACAAGGTTACAAATAACTATTTACTACTTCTTCATAGTTAAGCCCCTGACCTTCAAGAAAGCTTTAGGAGGAAAAATTGTTTTTAGTCTCTTTATTTAAAAATTGGTTTGTTTTTTTTTTTTGTTTTTTTTTTTTTTTACTACATCTAAGAGAGGAAAAGTATAGTTATATCTTGCTTGAGTTAAAAGGCATAGGATATCAATGCATACCTATTAAATTTCTAAGAAATATGAGGTAAAAGGATGAAATCTTTGGATAAGCTCTAAGTTTGTACAAAGAAACTACATCTGCTATTCTCCAAAAGTAAAAGGACCTACTATACGTAGAAAAGTTTTATGCCCTTTCAGAAGAATGTAACTAGTTTCGCGAGAGCTTCCCGTTCCAATGAGGCACCTAAAACGCCAGTCCATGGAACAGGTGCTTCTTTCTTCTTCCCTATCCGTTTCTGCGGTGGTTCTCATGAATGGCTGGCCAGATGTCACAGACAAAGGCTAAGAGGTTAGCCAGGACTTCGTCCCTGATCTGCGGGAAGTAGGTCTGGAGGGTGGTCCCCTTCTCCTGGGTGTCCTTCCCTTCAGTGCTGCAATTCTGGGGATCCAGAGCCTCAGCTTCCTTGGCCTTGAACTCCTTCTCCCTCTGCAGGCAGAACGGTGCAATTTCAGCCTGAGCCTCTGGCCTGCTTCAGCCGCAGGTTACTTGGTGGTGGGCCTCAGGCATGCTTCTGGACTTGCAGCAGCATGCTGGATGCCGTGTCACACTGGCCATGGCGGTGGTGACGGCCCTGCAAACGTTTCTTGGTTGGATCAATCCTGTCCATTGTCAGCATAGTGTGTATTCCTTCATACCTTTCCTGTTTTTCATCCATAAATATAAGCATATATGAGAGTTTTATGTGTTTCAACGGAAATAGTATCTAAACACAGATACCACTCTCCAACGTGTTTTTTTTTTTCTTTCTGGTAAGGTTTCATGGACATTTCCAGAAGTCAGTCAACAGATCTAGTGAGAGTTGTTCTTTTTCTAAGATATTTATAAACGTAATAGGATACATCAGACCTGATGAGGTTTTTGGTGAAGCAATATTTATTTACTTCTTTTTCTTTGCCTTCTGCCTTCTATCTTGCCTCTTTAGCTTTGTCCTCCCATCAACCACTTAGGAAACTATATTGATGTTATGATGTGTGGCCTTCTTAATATAATTATAGCTATGTTTATGTAATATAACCATATTAAAAACACACTCTCACTATGTGCAAGCATCTGGTTTTAGACCCTCTATCCTGTTTAATCTGTATATTTGCCTATCATTGTTCTAATAGCACTTTACCTTAGTTACTATAGCTTTAAAATAAACCTTGAGATCTGCTATATCAAAGTCCTATAAATTGTTCTTATTCAAGCGTATCTTGGGACCAGCCAGTGTGGCTCAGTGAATTGAGTGTTGTCCCATGGACTGAGAGGTCCCAGTTCGATTCCTGGTCAGGACACATGCCCAGGGTTGTGGGCTCAATCTCCAGTAGGAGGCATGCAGGGGGCAGCTGATTGATGTTTCTCTCTCACATTGATGTTTCTATCTCTCTCTCTCTCCCTTCCTCTCTCTTTAAAAAAATAAATAAAAACATATTTGAAAAAAATATATTAAAAAAGAGAGTCTCTTGGCTATCTTGCCTTTTGCATATTTTGTATACATTTTTGAATCATATTACCCAAAATTTTTTGGCTTACTTTTACAAAAACTTTTCTGGGGATTTAATTGGGATTGTATTGAATCTAAAAATCATTTTGAGGGTAATTGGCAAGTTTATCATATTGAGTCTTCCAATCCATGAGCATGGTATACCTTTCTAATTGGGAGTGTTAAAAAATGTCTCTTACTGAAGTTTTATCATTTTCTCTGTAGTGATCCTGCACAGAATTTGTTACATTTATTTATAAGTTCCTCATATTTTTATATGATTATAAAAATCATTAAAACTTTATTTACTGATACGTGCTGTTGATGTATAGAATACAATTGATTTTTATATATTTTCCTTGTGTGCATCTGTCATGATAAATGAGTTCCCTCATTTTTATTTTATTTTTTTTCTTTATTGATTTTAAAGAGAGAGGAAGTGAGAGGGAGAGAAAAATGGAAACATCAATCAGTGAGAACATTGATTGGCCGCCTACTGCATGCCCCCTACTGGGGATTGGGCCCACAACCTGGGCATGTGCCCTGACTGGGAATCAAACCAGCAACCTCTTGGTGCATGGGTTGATGCTCAACCACTGAACCACACCAGCTGGGCCCCTCATTTTTATTTACCCCTCTTTCACTTTCACTACATATAAAAGTATGCCTAGAGAATCTATACCATGGTTTTCCTTAGTTTTGAGCCTTATAACAAACATATAATTCTAAATATTTTCTTTCATGACTTGCATTTTTCACTCAACATTATTTTAATTGGAGTTACATTGTGTCTGTATTTGTATCTATAAATTACATTACATTTATAAATAAATTTATATATTAAATGGCCATTCTTTCTACACGTATATAATATTTCATTGTATTAATATGCCTAACATGTATAGCCATTACTTTTTTGTTGGTAATATGGGCTGTTTTCAGTATTTTGTTATTAGAAACAGCACTTTTGTGGACATTCTTGCACATGTCTCCTGGTGAACATGTGAAAATATTTATCTTAGGTATATTTTTAGGAGTGTAATTGCTGGATCATAGATTTTGCACATGTTCAATTTTAATAGTTGATTCCAAACAAATTTTCAAATAGATTACACCAGTGTAGACTCTCACTAGTAATGCATGAGAATTTCATTTCTCCACAAATCAATAAGAAACAGATAGACATCCCATTAAAAAATGGGCAAAATACTTGATTAGGCTAATTAACAGAAATTCAGGCAATGGTTACCTCTGGGAAGGAGGACAGAAGCAACCGGAGAGGTAGGATAATAGGGTAACACAATATACAAGAAACATTCTCCTCCTGTGCCTGACAGACTATTTTATTTTATTTTATTTTTTATCCTCACCTGAGGACATTTTTCCATTTTTTTGTTCAGGTAGAGTGGGAGGGAGAGAGAGGAAGAGAGAGAGAGAGAGAAACATCGATGTGAAAGGGACACACCGAGTGGCTGCCACCCGCACAACCAACCAGGGCCGGGGACAAACTGCAACCGAGGTACATGCCCTTAGCGGGAACCGAACCCGGGTCTCTCTGGACTGCAGGCCAACACTCCAACCGCTGAGCCAAACCGGCCAGGGCCAGACTGACTATTTTAATACTGTTCTTTAAAGAATAGAGTTTGCTCAACACACTTTTTGTTTATATAATTTATTTTGCAATCACTTTTTTTTTTTTTTAAGTAGCCAACAATCCTCAACATCCTGATCTTTGTTTATATCTCCCTAACGTGTCGGCATCGGTGGGTATGTGGTCTGAGTCCAAAGAGGCAAAGGATGGGGAGTTAGTCAACTGGTTTGCTATCCAATAATTAGTCTGTTTTCTTCTGTCTCAATCGAACTCAACTCATAACTTCCACACTTCAGGTTCTGTCCCTGGTAACACCCAACTTCTGGGTACTAATTTCCATTACTTTCAACCTAGATAGCTATGACAAAATACTAACCCCGACTAGCTTAGGCAGAAAGCCTTCCCAGCTGTGGGAGGGGTGTGGGATGAGCTGCTCTTAAGAGAAAGGGGAGTGAAGGGTGGGCTGGCGCCTTCCGAGCTTCTCTCGCCACGATTTCTCTACTATCAGTGTATTAATTGGGTACATTCTTCTCACACAGTTGAACTCCTCTCAGCCTGGAACCATAGCTTCTGGAGTTCCCAGGCTCATATCTAGCATCTTCACCGAAGGAGGGGCTTCCTTCTTCCCCGTAGTGTCCATTCAAATAAAGAATGTCAATCAACCTGAACTTCAATGGAGCCACACAAATGCACACCCTTACTTGCATGATTAGCAGCTGCTTTAGATTCTCTTTAAAAAAAAATTTTTTTTTTCGTTTATTGATTTTAGAGAGAGAGGAAGTGAAAAGGAGAGAGAGATAGAAACATCGATTGGCTGCCTCCTGCATGCCCCCCACTGGGCATCGGGCCCACAACTTGGACAGGTGTCTTGGCCAGGAATTGAACCGGCAAATTCTTGGTGCATGGATTGACGCTCAACCACTGAGCTAAACCGGCCAGACCAGCCACCTTCGACTCTTAACGTTGATGATACAAAGACACAAGACAGAAGAAACAGAGTGCTCTTCTAAGAAGCAGGAAAGCACTGTAGATGTCCACCTTATAGATGATCCCTATTTTCTTCCTGTTACTTTTCTGGGTGTTTTCTTTCTTCTTACTGTGATTTCAAGGGCATATCCCCTTCCAGATCTAGACTTTCACCTTCCCTATTACTTTTTTGGTGCATCTCAGAGACTACCTGTGAAATGGCAAAGTGCAGTGATGAGCCATTAGACTTTTAAGGCAAATTTGCCTTCAAGATTTTTTGGGGGAGGTGGGGGGCCTGGGAAGAGTGAGCCCAGCTGGATGCTGGGGGTGGGTCAACTGTTAGAGTAGGTCGGGGTGGGGCTTGCGGGGTCAGGGAGTAAGGGGGGACCCCTTGATTCTGAAATCAGAACACAGGACCACTGGCTTGCTGAGCAACGCTGGGTGATTTCTGTCTTTCCTCTGGGCTTCATGTTCTTTCTAAGTGTAAAACATTTGGTCGTGATGGTGTCCAGGGCCAGAGCTCTGCCTCTCCGTGGGAAAGTAGGACAGCTCTTGGCACTGTCAGAGATGATGTAACACAGTCTGCCATTTTCCCCGTGAGTAATCTGTAGGGAAAGCCCCAAGGTGCCTCCCAGGCTGGGGTGGACAGTTCCTGGTAGAAACACAAAAATGTAGGCCTTGTCCCTTGTAAAACCACAGGCCCGCCCTTGGCATCAGGCCAAGCTGTGGCTTCATATAACAGGCCTGCCCTCAGACCTTAGCCATACACTGTCTGTCAACATGAGGCCCAGCAGCATCTTGGTCCTGGCGGTTTTCCTTGTCCTCGGGGTGCTGGTTGTAGAGGTGGCGCTCAGAGGAGGTGAGTGGACGTCAGCCTGGCGGGGGTGGGCTGGGTTGAGGAGAGGCTGTCAGGGGCGACCTGGGGGCCCACAGGGAGTATTTCTGGAGCAACAAGCAGGGCTGGAGCCCACGCTTCAGCCTGTGGTCACTTCCATTGCAGTTGCCCAGGGGACCCCACGTGCATGTCGCCTCAGGACTGAACTAGGAGGACTGTTTGTGGGAAAAGTGTTGATATGTGGCCTTGGCCTCAGACATTGAGACTTCTGTGGGACGAAGCGAGGAGTCCCAGGAATCTGGGCCCTGGTGTGGGGTCTGTCCCCTGCCTGTCTGCCCTGTAAAAGCACCTGAGAGTAACCAGTCCTCTAAGAGGAGGTTAAGAACCAGCAGGGCCTCAGAAAGCCCTGTTGTAATGTGAAGACCGCCATTTTGCTAAGGAGGACATCACGCCCTGGAGAGGAGTGAGGAAATGTCGGGTGATCTCCAGGGCCAGGAGGAGCTCAGGTCTCCTGCCGTGTGTGTCCCCTCCACTAAAGTTCCTCAGGACTGACAAGGTGTCCTTCTCCTCCTGAGCACCAGGACTTAGAAAGCAGGGACAGGGAGTAAAGAATGCTTGAGACAACCCTGGTCCTCTAGAGCCTTCCCCCCAAGCTCAGGGAGTAACCTTCCAAGAGCACAGAGCCGGGTCAGCCCCATCTCAGGTCATAATTTGGGGGACACTGGAGTGAGCAGTGACCGGACTGAGAAGAAAGACGAGATAATTGAAACAGGGACACAGGGTCTAACTGTGGGTACATTTCTTCTTTCAACAGTTCCTTTTAAAGGCCCAGAAGCTGACAGAGGTCATGGTATGCTCAAAGGACAAGGTCCGCCTAGAGGTCAACATCCAGTCAGAGGGCCTGGCCAAGGTGCACAAAGAGGGCCCATTAAGCCTGGCTCCTGCCCCCGAGTTCTGATCAAATGTGCCATGATGAACCCCCCTAACGCCTGTATGAGGGACGCCGAGTGCAGGGGGTCCAAGAAGTGCTGCATGGGCTCTTGCGGGATGACCTGTTTGAACCCCCGGTGAGGTGAGAACTGAATGGACGAGGAGGTAACTTCTGGGAGCACAGAAAAAGCTGAACGGTAGGGAATGATCCTGGGGTGGTGAGATGGAGGATATTGGGAGGTGACAGGGAGACTGAGGGTCTCAGAGGCTGTCACTGGGGTCCTGAGAGGGTGACATGTGGTCTTGATCCTATCTCCCGCGGCCTCTGAGGGCTTCGACCTGCGGAATCACCTCCCTGGTTCTCCTCTCTCCCACCAGGAGGAGCCCATCCTCGAAGCAACTGTGAATGTCCCCGGGCTGCAGTCCCTGGTCCCCAGCGCATTGGAACCCCTTTCCCACACTGTTCATTCTCTCATCGAGATCCCCACGCCTGGGCTGCTTCTCTCGTTGACTTTCTAATAAAAGACTGCTTTCTGCTCATTGGTTTGGCGCCTGACTTCTGTGCTCCTGAAAGCTCTTAGAAGCTCCTGGGGTTGGATGTGGAGTTGGGACTCCCTCTCCCCAGGGAGGGGCGGGGGTGAGAGGGCCCCATGGGAGCTGCTCCTGGTGTGAAGGAAAACAGGGGGCAGGAGCACGAAGCCCTTTCCTCGGGCTTACTGTTAGAAATCCAATCATCAACCCAAGAACTACAGTCTCCGTGTCACCAGGAAATGGAACCTGGAAATTTCACTTGTTCACGCCCGAGATGCCTCGATTAACACATAATTCCTTTGGGTTAAGCAATATCCTCTCCCGGCTTTCTATTTTAAGATGTGAATGAGGAGACAAGACACACAAAGACCTTGATCCTTTAGTAGGAATGTAAATAGTGTCCTCTGGAGACATAAAGTGTCCAGGGGAGACCAGAGCAGTGACCAGGGTGGAGGGTATATGTTGGGCAAACTCAAATGACCTCGTGACTCTGCTGTTGGCCCCCCTGCCCCACTGCCCTTGGACAAAGAAGCTCCAAAGCCGCAGGAGGAAGAGCATTTTGGGTGGAGTCAGGAAAGTCCAGGCTTGGGAGTCAGCAGACCTGAGTTGTAGCCCCAGCTTTGCCTCCCATCTTGTTGGATGACCTCAGACAAATGTCTCTCCCTCTCGGAGCCTTAGTTGTCTATTTAACGTGAGGGGTTGCAGGCAATTACTTTGGAAGTACAATCTAGCTGGGCCATTCTGGACCTGAAACAACTGTTCATGTTGGGCTTCTGCTGTGGGTGGAAGGGGGTGGGCAGAAGCTTGGGGTGAGAGAACAGGAAGCACCGGCACCCTGCTGTCCGGGAGCGTACAAGCCAGGGTTTCCCGCTCCAGGGGACCAGCTGGACTGGGCTAGAGCTCTGATACCAGAGCATCTGGGCATACGAATGACAGATGTGGCTAAACTCTTGCCTGAACAAATACAAAATACACCACTGGCGGTAAAAGTAATTTATGTATTTAGTGTTCCCTGTTCCAGGTCCCACGCTAAGTATGTTAGCTGTATAGTCTTATTTATATCTCACAGAACTCTCTCAGATGGGTCTAATACACGTCTCTAATTTTGTTAAAAGATTGGAGCTATGAGAGGTTTAGTAACCACCCCAAATCATGTAGCTGGTAAATCCTATTGATATTGTAAGCTAGCTATAATCAGATATGGAACAGAAAGAAATTCTCACTTATGATATCAATAAAATTATACCATTCCTATAAATAAACTTAACAAGAGGCAGGCAGACTTAAAAACAAACACCCTATACAGCTGTCCATGATGTTCATAAAAAAGGCTTGATTAATTCTGAATGGGAAGACTCTACAAAGTGAAGATATCAATATTTACCTCTTCAATTTACTTCCGCCCCCAGCTTTATTGCAATAAAATTGACATATAACATGGTATAATTTAAGGCATACCATTTAATAATTTAATACACATATATATCATGTTTACCGTAATAAGGGTGGTTAACAAATACTTTACCTCACAGTTCCTATTTTGTTGTTGTTGTTATGTGAGAACCCATAGCAACTTTCCAGAATACAGTACAGTATTAAATATAGTCATCATACTCTACCTTAGCTCCCCAGAATGTACTCATGGTATAAATGAAAGTGTCTGCCCTTCACCAATTTCTCCCCATTTCTTCCACCCCTCAGCCCCTGGCTATCACCATTCTATTCTCTGTTTCTATGAGTTTGGTGTTTTTAGATTCTACATAAGTGATTTCATACAGTATTTGTCTTTCTCTAACTGACTTCACTCAACAGAATGCCCTCAAGGTCCATCCATGCTGTCAAAAATGGCAGGATTTCCCTCTTTTTCATGGCCGACTAATATTCCATTGTGCATCTGTACCACATTTTCTTCATCCATTCATCTGCCATTGAATACTTCATTTGTTTTCATGTCTTGGCTATTGTGAATGATGCTGAAATAAACTTGGAAGTGCAGCTATTTTATCAAGATGGTGATTTCATCTCTTTGGGATACAGACCCAGAAATACATTGCTTGATTACATGGTAGTTCTAGCTTTACTTTCTGAGGAACCTCCACACTGTTTTTTACAGTAGCCATACCAATTTACGTTCCCACCAAAAGGGCACCTGTGATGCCTTTTCTCCACAGCCTCGCCAGCATTTATCATCTCTTGATTTAAAAAAATGTTTTTATAATAGCATTCTAACAGGTGGGAGGTGATATCTCTTGGTGGTTTTTGACTTGCATTTCTCTGAAGATTAGTGATGTTGAACACCTTTACATATACTTGCTGGCCATTTGTATGTCTTCTTTGGAAAACAACCAATTCAAGTCCTCTGCCCATTTACTAACTGAATTCTTTGTTTTGTTTTTTTTTCTTTTGCGGTAACACATTCAAAACTCCAGTTTGTTTCTTCTTGTTGTTGTGGTTTTGGGGATGTTTTTGGAAGTGGAGGGCTGGTAGTGATGGTGATTCAAGAAACTTAAAAATCATGCTTACAGAACCCATGTTCATTCCTATATTAAAATCTCTTTTGTTAGGAAAAAAAGATCATATAGAAGAAAAAGTTCCTATGAATATCCATGAAAATTTCAATATTTGAAAATGAAGATGAACTTGAAGACATTTGAACCTCCTAGCCTTAAAAATAAGTAATAACAGCCCAGCCAGTGTGGCTCAGTTGATTGAGAATCATCCCATGTACCATGAGGTGGCCAGTTTGATTCTCAGTCAAGGGCACATGCCTGGGTTGCAGGTTCATCCCCTGCCTCTCACATTGATGTTTCTCTCTCTCTTTTTCTCTCTCTCCTCACACCTCCCTCCCTTCCACTCTCTCTAAGAAGTCAAGGGGGAACAAATATCCTCGGGTGAAGATTAACAACAAAAAATAAGTAATAACAAATAATATGATGGTTTTGTTAGATGAATAAAGTGTCAGACAGAGAAGTCAATCAAAAGAACATGCAAAAGCCCTGGCCGGTTTTGCTCAGTGGTTAGAGCGTCAGCCTGTGGACCAGAGGGCTTTGGGTTCAGTTCCCGCTAAGGGCACGTACCTCGGTTGCAGTTTGTCCCTGGCCCTGGTTGGGGTTGTGTGGGTGGCAACCAGTCGATGTGTCTCTCTCACATCGATGTTTCTCTCTCTCTCTTCCTCCCTCTCTCCCTCCTGCTCTACCTGAAGATAAATGCAAAAATGTCCTTGGGTGAGGATAAAACAAACAAACAAACATGTAAAAGTAGGCCTTATTATATATGATTTAGGTTAGATCAATGTCATGTTCCAAACCAATGTATAAAGCCTGGATTTAAAAACACCCACACACAGGATTCAGACTGTAGGTTCACATTTGCAAAACTAAAAGAATCACCTCTTATTCATATTAACATATAGGTTAAACTGACACAAAGGGAGAGTATGGAATAGCTCTGATAAGATCATTTCTTTTCTCTGAGGAAGCAGTCTAGTGTAAGCAGTCTATGGCTAGTCAGGTGGCTTCACCCAATCAAGACCCTCTCAGAGACCCAGGTTCCTTCCATCTTGTTGCTCTTCCATTTCCATTTTCCAATTAAAGTCTATTTTGTCCGATATTAGCACAGCTACCTCAGTGTTTTTACTACATGAGTGGCATACTTTTTCCCCTTGGGGACTAGGATTTGGGTCACAGCACCAGGTAAGCCCCTGAGAGTAGCATTGATGGTGGTTGAGGACAAGGAGACTTTAGAATGGAGGGAGGAGGGTGAAGAGGAGGAGCAGCTGCAGCCCTGACACCAACTGCAGTGGCTGGGCTACAGTTCGCCACACTTATCTCCAACCTCTATGGCAGTGGTTTCAACCTTCTTTAATACAGTTCCTCATGTTGTGGTGACCCGCAACCATAAAATTATTTTCGTTGCTGCTTCATAACTGTAATTTTGCTACTGTTATGAATCACCATCGGAAATATGTGTTTTCCGATGGTCTTAGGCGACCCCTGTGAAAGGGTCGTTCGACCCCCAAAGGGGTTGCAACCCACAGGTTGAGAAGTGCTGCTCTATGGTTTCCTGGCGAAAGAGTGCCCCCTAGAGTCCTGGAGGAACTGTTCTGAATGTGTAGGGAGATGTGCTGTGGACCCCACAGCACAAGGGGTGCACTGTGTCTGGTAGGAAGGTGTGCAGCTCAGACCCCCTTCCAGAAGCGATTTGCTGCCCAGCTGCAGGGAGTGTGGTTATCCGGCCACTGACCTCAAATACTTCGCAGGCACTACGTGAGTGCTTAAGCTGAGATCACACCTACCCATGTGGCCTCCAGCCAGGGACAGAGTAAGGCTGTGATATGAGGGCCTTTACTTTTCTGCCCAAGGGAAGATCCCTCTAGGTGAAAATCCTTGCTCCAGAGCTCGCCGTTGGGCTGGCAGAGATGCCCTCAGTCCGACATGGTGATAGCTCCCTGTGTCCAATCCTGCTTCTTCTCCTTCACTTTCACAGATGTTGCTTTGCAGTGAAACTTGAGCTCCTAACTCCGTCTCAGCTCCTGCTGCCCCGAGAACCCAGCCTGGAAAACGTGGCTCAGGGAATTAGGACGATTCAGGTTCAGCGGCATTGTAAGAATGAGAGTCCAACCGAGTAAGCACAGCAGACCCACACCTCAACCAGGTGGGATGTGGACACTCCTGCTGCAGTCCCGGACCTACCACGGCCTCCGCTGTCCCTGAATCAGGTGTTGCTGTGGGTGACAACTGCATTGCCCTGGGAAAGAATGCCCCTTCATCCTTGGTGCTTGAACCACTCAAGTGCCAGGTGGGACTATCGGATTTGCTGAACATCTTAGTACAGCCCTTGGTGTCAGGGGTGAAGGGAGACCCTCTGTTTTGTTCAGTTTCTGCAGTGGGAGGCCAGCTCTCATACATCACCTCAGATAGGAAGGTGTCAAAGCATCAGAAGGAAATCCCATCTGGTGAGCAGTCAACAAACATACCAATATCCCCCACGCTGTGGATTTTCGCAGGATT